TGGCAAAGTGGCAGGAAATTTGAATGTGTTATGGGCTAGACTTTTGGGGGAGTGAGCTGAGATTTTGCAGATAGGCAAATTCTGGACATATTTGGCACATTTTGTAATGAGGGAAGAATGGGAGAAATCAAGAAGCTAAAGAAGTGTTCACATTCGACAGGTTCTATGGTTTCTCAGATGTCTTTGATCAGAAGGATGTAAGACTAGTGATTCTTGAGAGCATATCAGTATTATTATTATCACTATTATTTGTCCATGAATAGCTACATTTGTATGTCTCATGGAATATTTTCCTGACCCCCCTCCCCGCGGCCATACAGGTTCTACGACACATCCAAACAGGCCATCGGCGCTGCGTTTATGCACTTCGCCAATGTGTTCCTGGCAGACATGTTCCAAGGGGACCCCTGTACATGGTAAGGGACGCAACTCTTATTCATAGGAGTCAGCTTTAGCTCACCGCCCCCCCCCCCCTCTCTCTCTAGGCGCTGCCTCGAGGCAGAGGCCGAGCTCGGAGCCGCGGCACATGTCGGACGTGTCCATGCAGCAGCAGTTGGGGATGTAGCCCTGGAAGCAAACGTAGTTCTGCATGCCGCCCGCGTACTTGTCGAGCACAGCCTTGCGGGTCCAGCACGCGGTCAGGCCAAAGGGCGCGCCGAGGCCGGAGAGGATGCAGCAGCCCGGCTCAACGCAGCACGCGTCCTTGAGTCCGAGCGCAAACTGGTTCGGGTTGTGCTGCGCCGCAATGAATTTGCCCTGCTCGACGCCCTTGCCGCCCTTGGCGTCCGCCTGAGTAAGGAGCGCTCAAGTCTCGGTGGCGAGTGGAGATGCGCGGAGGAGCCGGCAGGGGCGGGGTCGCTTCAGTAGGGAGTGGAGATGTCGGACGCAGCGCCAAGCGACGGGCAGCGGATACTCCGTGGCGGCGGATTGCCCAGTGGCACGGGGCGGCGGATGCGTACCCGCTCGGGCGGCGTGTCCGGACAGAGGAGGAAGCAGACCATCAGAAGTGGAGCTGAGTGCCTTGGCGGCTGGTGGCAAAGGAGGCTGCGGCGGGAGTGGTTTTTCTTTTTTTCCAGCACAACCCACTAGGCGAAGCTCTATCTTCGAGCTCGCAGCCCGCGACGAGCCAGCATGGCTCGTCGCTCGACGGGAGCCTGCCCAGTATGCTCTGGGCATTCTGTACAGCCTCGCCAAGCTCTCTGGGCAAGTCTACAGGGCCAGGGCGGGCCGCCTCGGGCGCGATGGCGCGCTGAATAGTACCATGACTACGAGCTCTCGATCGGGTCGCCAGCAGCGGGCTTGCGCGGCGCACTGCTCGACGGCAGGCTGCTCCCCACACTTTCAACAGTGTCTTTTGACTCGCTTCTCTCGCTGCAACCGCTTCCGGGGGCCGGCGCCGGCCGCCTCGCTTCGCCAGCGCTGCCTACGCCTACGACACGCGCATCGGCTCGCCGCCCGCGTCGCCTGCGGCGGGCCAGCGTGGGGCGCGCCGCTCGTCAGGAGCGTGCTCAGCAGGCTGTGCAGCGCAGCCTGACTCACCCAGGGCGGCGGCGGGCGACGCGGAGCGGGGCGGCGCGACCATCTGTACTGACAGGGCCTCTGGTCTTTGATGCGGCGCAATGGTCGCGCCGCCCTCGACTCAAGGGGCTGCCTTCCACCCGTAGCTGCTCAGGACGGGGGAGGGGGGGAGGCCTCCTGTTCCCGGCGGAACACGAGAAGGCCCCTCCTTGCCCGGTCTGTGATGCAGGGCGGTGGTCGTGCCATCGTCGCTTCGTACGCGCAACCACCCCGCCGCAATGTGGTCGCCGGCGCGCGACACGTTCCCGTAGGCAGGACTGTCCTCGTCGAGAGTGTGTGCCGCCAAGGCGCCATGCCAACTCGACACCCTCGACACCCCTCGACACCCCTCGACACCATCTAGGCTGGTACCGGTACCACGCTCGTCCGTGTCAAGGTGCCAAACTTGACACCTCGTCACCGCTCGTCACCGCTCGTCACCGCTCGACACCGCTCGACACCGCTCGACACCGCTACCGCGGGCGCTCGCGACGGCCGACGGCGACGCGTCTCTCGAGTATCGTCTCTCGTGCGTCTCGAGAGAGAGCGGGAAAACGAAGGCTGGGGTGGCTCAGGCTCGAGAGGGATCGAAGAGGGCTGCTCGAGGAGGGCTGGGGGGACAGGGGTGGAGCCCCCCCCCACGGCCACAGCGCACAGCCACAGAGCCGCTGGCAGCAGCAGGCGGCATGCCAGGCACTCGAGGCCAGGCACAGCGGTGTAAGGCGTAAGCTCCGCATACATACCGCAAAGCTGAGGCGTTGGAGCGGGTTAGAGATAGAGTACCGCAGCGGCGCAGGGGAAGCAGGTAGGAGGTAGCACAGCTCGGCCAGCTCCGCGCCACCGCGCCTGCGGGCTTCGGTGTGCGCGGAAGCCACAAAATTGCGCTCTTTCACCAGTCCAAGCCCACGAAGCGCTCACGAGAGCTGCTAGGCCTGGGGGGGGGTACACTTCAACGACAAAGATCGTAACACACTGGTCACTGCTCCGACTGCGGACCCGATCACGTAAACGGAAGTAAACCTTTTCCGCCCGCCGCCGGATTCGCCTCTCGCCACTCTCGGATACATTCGCACGTGGCGAACTCTCGGATACGTTCGCAGGTGGCGAATAGGCACGTGGGCGACGCGGAAACACAGAGCCTTGCACCCTTTCGCACTTCTCATCACTGCCCCGGCGCCCACGCCTCGACCTTCTTGGGCAGCAGCTGGTTCGATAGGTCTTCTCCGTGGCCTAGGCAGCTGTCTTCGCCCTGGCCCCACGTGAAGACGGCACTGTCAGCGGTGAGGGCGAGGCTGTGGCGGACCCCAGCGGACACAGCGACGATGCGCTGGCCAGCCAAGGCCTCGACCTTCTTCGGCAGCAGCTGGATCTGCTGGTCAGTGATGGCCCTACATTCATGCTGGCGTCCCTACATTCGTGTCGGAAAGCGACGTAGAACGGGCTGGAACCGCCGCACGCTAGCGCCAGCCGCCGCTCGAAGCTGCGTAAGGAGCGGCCTACCGGCGCTAGAGGCCGAGCGGGGCCCTCGGAACGCGCGACGCGTCGCGGTCGAGGCGCCGTGTCGGCCCCGTGAGATGGTGAGAAGCCCGTTTCACGTGCCTCCGGGCCGTTTCCAGTCATCGCGAGGCGCGGCGTGGGGCTCGTGATGATTTTCGAAGGCGACGCGGAGGTGACGACGAAGGCGATGCGGAGGTGGAGGTGACGCGGAGGTGGAGGTGACGCGATGGTTTTCGAAGGCGATGCGGAGGTGGAGGTGACGCGGAGGCGGAGGTGACGCGATGGTTTTCGAAGGCGACGCGGAGGTGACGCGGAGATGGAGGTGACGCGATGATTTTCGAAGGCGATGCGGAGGTGGAGGTGACGCGGAGGCGGAGGTGTCGCGATGGTCTTCGAAGGCGATGCGGAGGTGGAGGTGACGCGGAGGTGGAGGTGTCGCGATGATCTTCGAAGGCGATGCGGAGGTGGAGGTGACGCGGAGGTGGAGGTGTCGCGATGGTCTTCGAAGTCATCGCGATGCGCGGCGTGGGGGGCACGTGACGGACCGTCCCTCCGTGTAGGCTGTAGCATCGCCCGATGGCAGAGGCGTGGCATGCTCCCGTGGCGATGCTCGACGGCGGCGGCTTCCTCAGCTCGGTCGAGCGGTACGATCCGGCTACGAATGCATGGGAGGCGGTGGCGCCGATGGGGACGGCGCGGGCTGCTCCCGCCATGGCGGTGCTCGAGGGCAAGTTGCACGCTGTTGGCGGGCAAAACGATGAGGAGGAGGAGGACGGAGATATCGGCATCCTCGGACGCTGTGGGCCCTCTACTCCTGCCCGTGCGATGTTTTGCGCCGCAGTCGAATCCGCCGCCTCCGCCCGCGACGACGCAACTCCGCTGCCACCTCAACCCCCGTGAAGCGGGGCTCAGCCCGCGGCCGGCTTACGCCAGCGACAAGGCACGCATACGGCCGCTCCGACTTGTTGGCTCCGCCCCTTACCGGCCTTAGTGAGCCCACGTCTTGGGAGAGGAGAGTCCAGCTGCCGAGATCGACGCCACTGGGGCCAGGGCCCCCTCTTTCTTTTGAGTTTTGTGTGGGTGGGAGAAGGAGACGGGTGGCCAATACTTGCCTGCCCTCTCCTCCCGCCGCTATACGACCCCGCGCCCGCTCCACCACGCCGCACACCCCATCTCACATACCCGAGCCTTGAGCGCCACAGGACGTCACGTAGCCAGGACGCGGGGCGGTAATGCTCAGGGCTCTCCACAGAGCAGAGAGGGAGGGAGGGGAGCGATCTCTCAGTGACTCTCGACACACCTCGCAGTGACTCTCAACACAATGTGGCGCAACGCGCTCGCCAGCCCGCGGGCCACGCAGTGCGGGCGCTCCTCCTGCTGGCGCACGGCGCTCGGCAGGGGGGCGTGGTTAGGGCCGCAACCCTCCACGACACTCTGTGGATCCGAGACACCGCGCTCCGCAGAGTGAGCGCATGCAGCTCGCGTGTGGCTGGCAGCGCCCTCACGCGCTCTCTCGCGCGAGCAGCGCCTGCGCCGCCTCCGCGCGCAGTGCCTTGGCCGGCTCAAACCGCACAGCGTATGAGGGGCGCACGAAGGTCGCCTCGCCCAGGCAGCAGGCGTTGAGGCCCTCGTCCGACAGCGGCCGCGGCGAGCTCGCGTTCGCATCGAAAATTAGGTCGCCGACGATTGCGACGGTGTGCGTGCTGTCGCCGCTGGAGTCGTAGATCTGCAGCAGCGTGGGCAGCGGCGAGCGGTCGAGCAGAGGCTTGAACTTCTTCAGGCGCTCCGTCTTGGCCCAGCCGCCGGCGCGCTGCAGCCACTGGACTGCGTGCACTGCCGTGTGGCCGGGCGCGGAGACGATTGCATCAGCATGCAGCAGCAAGAGGGCCGCGTGCCGGTCGAAGCCGGCGTGGCGCAGCGCTCTCGCCAGCCCGCGGGCCACGCAGTGCGGGCGCTCGTCCTGCTGGGGCACGGCGCTCGGCAGGATGACGTGGATAGGGCCGCAACCCTCCACGACACTCTGTGGATCCGAGACGCCGCGCTCCGCAGAATGAGCGCCTGCAGCTCGCGTGGTCGCGCGGGTGGTTGCGCCCTGCGGCACGACGAGCGGCTCGCCGCCGGCGGCGTGCAGCGACTCGAGCCAGCCGCCGTAGGCGCCAAAGTTCGCCTCGACCCACTCGGGCTCGAGCCGCTCCCAGCCGGGCCGGCCGCGCACGCTTCCGCGGTAGACGACGCCGCCCCGCACCGCCTCGGCGCGGATGCGGTAGATCGGCAGCTGTGGCGGTGTCCTGCGCGCCTTGCGGATCCTGCGCGGCGCCGGTGTCTCTGTCGCCGCCGGCGCCGCCTCGGCTGCCGGCCCTGCCACCGCCGCCGCGGCTGCCTGCGGCGGCTCCTCTGCGGCCGCCGCCGCCGCCTCCGCCGCCGCCGCCGCCTCGGCCGCCGCCGCCTCAGCCGCCGCAGCCGGCTCGGCCGCCGGCCCAGCCGCCGCCGCCTCTGGTGGCGTGGCGGCGGCGGCGGCGGCGGCGGCGGCGGTGGCGGCGGCGGCGGTGGCGGCGGCGGTGGCGGCGGGCGCCGACGGCTGCTGGTGTCGACGAGAGCGCTCGAGCGCCGCGCGGTTGCGGGTGCCGGGCGCCGTCGGCACAATCGGTGCGCCTGCCTCGCTCGACGGCGCGCCGCCGCCGCTCGGCAGCGACGCGAGCGGCGTCACGTTCCTGAGGGCGAGGCTCGACGGCGTGGCGACGGTGGGGACGGTGGCTGCCTTTGCCGGCGTTGACCGCGCGCCGCCGGGTGTTGACGCGCGCTTCAGCCCGGCGAGGCTGGCGGCCGACGCCTGGGCCACGCCGCGCGGCGACGAGAGCGCCGTTGGCGAGCAGACGCGAGCGTCGGCCTCGGGCCCTCGAATACCGGGGACAGACGCTGCGACCGGTCCAGCTGTGGCGAGTAGTTCTCGGATGACTCGTCGCCGGAGCCGTCGCTGCCGTCGCCGTCCCGAGCGCGCCGCGCGCCGCCGCCAAGGGCCATCCCGGCAGCGCGAGAGCGAGAGAGAGAGTGGGTGGGCCACGTGCAAGCGGTTCAAATGCCCGCCGGTAGTGCGCGGATGGCGATGCCGCTTCTTTTTGCTTTAGGGCTGGGGAACTTATCGCGAGAGGAGATGGAGGCGGCGGAGGAGGAGATGCGGCGGGGCGAGTGTTCTGATGCCTATGTGCTGACGTGCAAATCTGCTGCCGTGCGACATAAGCTCCAGCTCCATCAACCTCGCCACTTGCCTCGTTCCAAATGCCGTTCATCTAGACACACCGGCTTGACACTTTTGGAGAGAGAGAGAGTTTTGCACTTTTGGTCGATCCTCGACCGCGAGTTTGCCAAAGTGTAACAGGTCCCCGCCCGTGCCCACGCCGTGCGATCTTTGTGCAGGGTTCTTTGTGGGTGAGGGTGAGAGTAGCCGGGGTCGTCCTCCCGATGGGGGACTAGCACCAGCCGTCTTCCACATGGTCCCTCGGGTCCCTGCAGCTGCTCCTAATCTCTTCGTACATCCTCCTGCTGATCTCCGCAAAGTCCTGCTTCCTCCCTCGTCTCGCCCTGCTGCGCGTCTGCTGAGACCCTAGCTCCCAGCCCCTCACCAGAAAACTGCCGAGCAGATGCGATCCCCGGTGGGCAGGACGATGAAGTGCGGCACAAAGGAGAACAGCGGCGCAAGGAGGTCAGCACACGCCCTCTGGGGGGAGGCGGGGGCCCCCGGAGGCACCGTGCGCCGCGCCGCAGTGCGGAAACGGGGACCGTGTGCAGATCCGATGTGAGAGACAGACCTTTCTTATATCACCCCACTGTCAAACCGACTACTAAAGCCGACCCGCCAACCAGTCTCGCCCGCCGCGCGGCTCTGGTGGTGATTCTTTCATTCTAGTTCGTTCGCGCATGGAACACAATAAACCAGGGTACGACAGACCCGCTGCTTTGCACAAACGAATCCCACACAACCGAGAGAGCGACTAGAGAACACGCAGAACCGTCCGAGCGAGGGCGCTACAGGGCGCGACCAGGCCGGGAGAATGGGGCACAGCCCTCGAGCCTCTATACGCTTCACGCCGCCTTCTTCGTGTCGTCGAGCAGCTGTGGACAGTCGTTCCGCCACTTGGTCCACACCTCGGTCTTCGTCACCAGGTCGGCCATGAACGCGCCGACGTTGGCCCTGGTCGACTGGCCGGCGTTGAAGATCCCATTCTGGAGCGTCGCGAAGACGCTGTACGGCCGCTCGTCGCCGTCGACCATGTCAGAGGGCCGCACCGCCACGAAGTCGACGTGCGGGTTGGCCGACGCCTCGGTGTGCAGATAGGGCAGCACGGCCTCATTGTCGCCGACCGGCGGCAGGAGGAGCCACAGGACAGAGAGCAGCAGGCGCTCCAACAGGCCGCGCTTCGGGTCGGCGCCGTCGGGCCGGTCCACGCCTTCCGTGCTCACGACGACCAGCCGCAGCGGCGTCGACGGCGCCAGCTGGCGCGCGGCGTCGCAGATGAGGCGCACCGAGTCAACACAGAGCATGCGAGGAGGGAAGTATACGCCCTTGAAGGTGAGGTTGTGGCCCAAGCTCGAGACTACGGCGTCGGCGCCGCGCAGGTGTGCCGCAAACTCATCGACGCGCAGCGCCAGGTGACCCTCTGGCGCGACCACGACCTTCAGCTTCGTGTGGCCCTTGGCTGCCGCCGGCAGGCGGTCGGCCGAGCGGACGATGACTGTGACCTGAGCGGCGCCAATTACATGCATTCAGACGCGGCCTCGCAGGCGGCTGGTGGCAGGGTTTTTGGCGCTTTACCTCGACGCCGCGCTCGAGCAGGCGAAGGAGGCAGGGCGCGCCGCACCCGCCGGTTGCTCCGAGGACGAGAGCTTTCATTTTGTGAATGCTGCACAGCTCGCTTTGTTGCCACGCGATTCCCATGCCGGCTCCCCGCAACAACCCCCGCCGGGAGGGAATCCCTGCTCACAGAAAAGGGCTTCGAGCCTTGTCTCGCGCACGCCCCTGGCGGGCGCCGCGGACCAGTTCCGCGAGCGCTCGTCAGCGGGTGGTGTGCGGTTCTTGCCGTAGTTCCTCTTCAGTCGCCTAGCCCCGGCGCCGTCTGGCGGACGCCTGCGTGTCACGAGTGCGAGCCGCTCGCGGTTCGTACGCCCGCTTGCGGGTTCGAGTGGCGGGCTATCCCGCTTGCGGGATGGCTTAGCGGGTTCGAGCCGTCACACATTGGCTGCCGGGGTGTGCCGAGGGGGGGCTGGGGGGGCGGTAAGCCGTCATTGCCCGGCGCTGCTTGCAGCGCTCTGGGTGGTAGTGGCGGCGCTCCAAGAGTGGTGCTCTTGGGAAGAGGTTCCTCCTTTCCGCTCCCCCCCCGCAAGGCGCGAGACACACACGATTCCGGATGGACCAACCGTCCAAACCCCCCCCCTCCCCCCCCCGCCTCCGCCGGGGAGTTAAGAATTGCACCCAGCGGGCCATCGGGCTAGCTTATATCCTGATCTTGGGGAGAAACATAATTTTAGAGAACAAAACTCCCTAGTTAGTTAGTTAGGAAGGTGAAGAACAGCCGGGCTCGGCGGACGAGAGCTTTCATTTTGTGAATTTTCAGTGCTCGCTTTGTTGCCAGGGTCCAAACTCCCCCCCCCCCCCCCCAGCCTCCGCCGGGGAGTTATGAAGCGCATCCAGCTGGCCGCACGCCGGCCCCACCAAATGCCGCCTCAGAGCGCCAGCCACCTCATAGCTCATACACGCGGCCGGCGCCCTCTCGCGGCAAAAGGGTCGAGCGAGCGGGAGAGTCGCAATATCTGCGCACCCGCGTGCCGATGGGCGGCACACGCAACCGAGAGAGGCCCTGTCACGCCGCCAGTAGCGTTCCGCACTCCCCACGCCACCAAATGCCGCCTCAGGGCGCCAGCTACCTCTCTTACACGCGGCCGGCGCCCTCTCGCGGCAAAAGGGTCGAGCGAGCGGGCAGAGTCGCGATGTCTGCGCACCCGCGTGCCGATGGGCGGCATACGCAACCGAGAGAGGCCCTGTCACGCCGCCAGTAACGTTCCGCACTGCCCACGCCACCAAATGCCGCCTCAGGGCGCCAGCTACCTCTTACACGCGGCTGGCGCCCTCTCGCGGCAAAAGGGTCGAGCGAGCGGGAGAGTCGCAATATCTGCGCACCCGCGTGCCGATGGGCGGCACACGCAACCGAGAGAGGCCCTGTCACGCCGCCAGTAGCGTTCCGCACTGCCCACGCCACCAAATGCCGCCTCAGGGGCGCCAGCCACCTCTCTTACACGCGGCCGGCGCCCTCTCGCGGCAAAAGGGTCGAGCGAGCGGGCAGAGTCGCAATGTTTCTGCCTACTCGCTGCCTCGAGGGAGGAGGGGAAGAAGTAGGATTGAGCTAGCCTCCCCTTCCAACCGAGGCCCCTCCCCGAAAGGCAAGTTTTAGCCCCCGGAAACGGAGACCCCTCCCCACCACCCCAATCCCCCCCCCCTTGTTCCCCCCCCCCCCCCCCCTTCGGGAGGGCCGAACTGAGGCGCCCGTGGGGACCCCGCAATTCCCTTCCCCCCTCGGAGGGCCGGACTGAGGCGTCGAGGGCCCCACTCTTTCCTTCGCATAGCGGCCACTCTTCGGATCGCTGGTCGAGCGACCCGGGGGAGGCCCCGCGCGCCTGACCCAGGCGCGAAAACGAATCTGCGAGGCGTGGCCGCTCATGCGGCCCGATGGGGAGGAGCTGGGCGGACTACGGGGGTCGGCTTCTTACACAGCCCTTCCCTGCAGCGAGCCCCCCTCCAACCCACCCGCGCTAGGTCTCGGGTTTGACGCATGGGGTCACTCCCGCGAAACTCGGGAACTAGCCGGGGCAGTCGGAGAAGGGGCAACTCCGTGCACTGACGGTCGGCCGTCAGAAAACACGCCTCCGTGGCTCGGGTTACACCAATCCTCGCTACCCAACGCGGCCAAAGGATATCCACCTCGAGAACCTCGAGAGCCCTCTGCGTCCCCTCACCCTGCTTGCTTTTCTTTTTTCGAAACAAAATCTTGGCCACACATGCGCTCTGAAGAGGAGCGGATGTCTCAGCCTCTTGCCGCGGGCTCTCAGAATTTCGAGGCGTGGCGGCGGACGGTAGCTGCCCGCGCGGGCCTTTCCGTCTCGGCCTGCAAATCGCCCGCGGAGGGAGGGCGCGGCGCCGCGGGTACCGAGAGCGTGGGGCTGACGCAAGCTGCGGAGCTGACGCTCCAAGAGCAGTGCGCAGCACCGCCGCCCCACCGCACCTGCCTCGCCACGTCACGCTGATCCGTGTGCATGCCCAGAAGGTGGGACGCCAAGGAGGCGTGGCGGTGCCGCATGGACGAGGCGCGAGCGGAGGAGGCGGCGCGGCAAGGGCGCATCCGAGAGGCGCGCGCGGCACGGCTGCGGGAGGAGAATCAGTGGGATGATGACTGCGTGATCCTCTGATCCGCGGGCAGTGTTGCGCTGCACGCGGCGGATGCGTGGGACTCGGCGCGATGCTCACCTGCGGGCACGGACGACTCTCGCCCCACCACCCAGACAGACGTGCTACAAGGTCACGGCCGCAGAGCGAGCTCGGAGCTGGGTACCTACCGCGGGCGTGCCCCACCTGCCGACGTGCTTGAGACAGGCTACCCTGGCTAGACTGGGCTCGTGCATTCGATGGCCGTACGGGTTCTCGCGGCGCGCGCAGCCGCCCGCTGTGAGCTGTGAGCTCACACGCAGGTTCCGGTTCGGATTCCGGAGCGCGGAGGCTATCGGCTCCAGCGTCGCCCTCGCCTCTGCGGATCGCACCCGCTCCACGTCGCGCAGCGGCGAGCGCGGCGCTGGCTGGCTGTGCCACAGCCCACGGAAGAGAGCTCACCCTTCCTATCGTGAGCCCCCCAAGAGGCGACTCCGATTCTGTGTGAGCTCTGTGTCTTGATTTGCCAACTATACCTACAACCGATTCTCCTGAGAACGTAGGCTGTTTTCCACGGCCCGAATTCTCGTTTTGGACGCAAGGGCCCGGAATGCCGGCTAGCACCAGCACAACGCTCTCCTCGCAGCGCGGCGACTGGAGGAGGCGCGCTCGTGCCGCTAGGGCCGGCGCAGAGCCGGCGGCGGCGACAACGCCAGCGGCTGCTCTCGCCGCAGCAGACGTGGCGCCGACCGTTCCGGCGTGCGCCGCCTCGCCGCTCTGCGTTCACGAGCGTGGCCCTAGCCGCGAGTGGTGGGGCGACGACCGATCGCTCGAGGCGCGTCTGCCTCAGCTCCTGAAAGAGGGGCGCGCCGAGGTGGCGCGAACCCTGCTGCTGAGCAAAGCCGAGCCGGCGCACGGCGTGACGCTCTTCTACCTCGGCGTGTGCGCCGGTATACTCGAGGGCGAGGCCGCCGCCGTCGATCCCTACGAGGCCTCCATCGCAGCCATGCCCGGCCTGGGCATCGCCTACGGCAACCTAGTGCGCGCCTACCTCGCACGGCAGCGCACCGGGGACCTCGAGCGCGCCCTCGTGCTCGCAAAGACGCTCGCCAGCTCGCAGCCCGAGGCGGCGGAGCCGCAGTATGTGGTGGGTGTGGTGCTGATGCAGCTGAGGCGCTTCTCCGATGCAGCAGGGGCATACGAGGCCACGCTGCGGCTCGACGCGGCCCACCACGGCGCGCACGTCAACGGCGTGCACTGCTTGCAGCAGCTGCCTCCGGACGACGAGGTTGCGCGTCGCCGCCTCGAGGCGGTCGCGCGCGGCGGCGTGGCGGCGGGGCTGTGGGCCAACTGGATGCAGCGACCGCCCCACCTGGTCAAGCGGCTGACGTCGAGACCGTGGTGGGACAAGGGCGAGTTTGCGTGGTGCGCGCTGCTCGAGGAGCAGTACCCGCAGATCCGCGACGAGGTCCTCCGGCTGCGCCGCAAGCCGGCGTCCTTCACGCCGGTGGGCGGGCGGGCGGCGCACGACCACACCCTCGTCGCCGCTGGCGAGTGGCGCAGGGCTTCCTCCCGCTTCCTGGCAGATCCTTTCCCGAGCCCTCTCTGGGTTTTGCTCTAGGCGAGTGGCGCGAGTACCCGCTCTTTGGCAACGGCCAAAAGTACGCCGAGAATTGCGCCCGCTGCCCCGTCACCGCCGGCACGATGGAGCGCGTCTCTGCGGCGATCGGGCTCGCGATGGCGGGCGGCGGCGAGACGCTCTTCTCGACGCTTAGGCCGGGGACGCATTTGCGCCCGCACTGCGGCTCGACCAACACGCGCCTGACGGCGCACCTCGGCATCGTCATCCCGCCAGGCTGCTCGATCCGGGCGGGCAACGAGTGGCGCGAGTGGAGGGAGGGGGAGGTGCTCGTCTTTGACGACTCCTGGGAGCACGAGGTGCGCCACCGCGGCGGCGAGGACCGGGTCGTGCTCCTCATCAACTTTTGGCACCCGGAGCTCGCCGAGCACGAGAGGCGGATCGAGCTCGACACGTGGGGATACCAGCCGATCTGAAGAGTTGCGCCACTGTCTCGGGGAGGGACGCAGACGCCACCCCGGCCTTTGTGATCGTGCGCGCGCGACGAGTCGCCACACGTGCAGCTATCGCACACAGAGGCATACACACACACATGTATATACCGATCCGCGTCCATCCGATCTCATCACTCATGAAAAAATGTGTTCTCCAGGGGTATCCGGTCTTGCCCGGCGGTTCGTATACACACAGGAATACAGCAAGCATCCGTAAGCCGAGCGACATATGACTCAGCATATCTCTCCCCGACCCCGCGCCCGGAAGCGGGAGAGAGACTCTCTCAGTGGCATTGTGTGGATACTCCGCCAGAAGCTCTGCGCTCAGCAAGCCGCGCAGCGACACGGCAGCCATCCTGGCGAGCCTAGCCCGGTCATTGTCCGACGCTCGAGACGCATGAGATTGCTCAAGCTCCTTCTGGGGGGGACCGACAAACTGAGCGCTGCCGAGGCGTGCCCAGGCACCCGGAGCGGAGGTGTTGCGCGATGAAAGGGCAACATTGCACACCTCGTGGTACTGGCTGCCGAGGTCGAGCGTACGCTGCCGTAGCCTCCGCCTGTCCTCCAGGCAGCATCGTTCGCACACCGTCGAGAGCCAGGATGTTCCACAATGCTTCCGCACGGACCCCCTGCTCATCGCTCTTCATCTTGAGCAACCTGCACCACGTCATCTGGCCGAGATTCCACGACTCTGTGCTTTCGCCCAGCACTGCCAGCAACTGCGCGAAGCCGAACGCGTTTCCGAAGCGCTCGGTGATTGGATCTGACGCATCAAAGTGCTTCTCTGTCCACCCTTCTGGGCATGATTGGTGGATCATTCCAGGGTGCCGCGGCACCGCGCCGAGGAGAGCGTTGTAAACGCGAACCTGCTCGCCCTTCACCAGCTCCTTCTCTGGGACGAGGGGCAGGACCAGATTCTTTTTGGCGTCCTGCACGGTCCTCACCAGTTCAATGAGTGAGAGATTGCCCGGCGTGTGGTCGCTGTCGACATAGAAGCCGCCGTGCTCTGCGAGGACATGATCGCGGCGTAGCGAATACGTCGGAATGCGCTCGCATATTGCTCACCCCAGAAAGGCGACTCGCTCAAGTACTTTGCGCCGTCGCACATACCCATCGCCGTGGCCTGTAGACCTGGGTTGGCCTGTCGCCAGCGGGCTGCGGTCTCCTCTTGCCTCCCCTGGTCTTGCCTCCACTGTGCAGCCTCACATACCTAGCGGCGTTCTGAATCGAACACTCGCGCGGGCGGGGCTCGTCACGAGGCTGCTTCCGCGCACGAGCGCCCCCGCGAGAGGAGCACCGGCCTTCCCTGGAGCGGCGAGGAAAAAGGCGCGGCCCGACTCGATCAGGGTTCGAGGTTTTTAGGGGGTAGGGTAGGGCATCGTCAGGGCCCTGGCGCCGCGACCATACCCCCCCACCCGCACAGGACGTCGCCTCTGGCCAGCAGGACCATACCCCCCCACCCCCCACCACACCACACGAGCGCGTACAGTAACCGTCGTGTTAGGCCGTCCGGTCGTGCGGCACGGGCTCGCGCGATGCAGCCTGCGCGAGGTGACCCGCCGGCAATCGTGCACCCCTCAGAGCGTGTACGCAAAGGCCGCCAGGGCCTTGCGTGCCGGCGCAGGCGCGGGCGCAGGCGCGGGTGCGCGCGCGCGCGCGGGCGCGACCGGCGCGTGTGTACTGGGTAATTACTGGGTTCGAACCCTGTTGTAACGTGGGCGGTACGGGGGCTCCAGCGATTGACCATACCCCCCCACCCGTCGAGCAGGCCGCCGGCGGCGGCCAGGACCATACCCCCCCACCCTTTTGGCCCTGACCCAACCATACCTTACCCCGCAAAAAGTTGGAATCCAGCAAGAACAAAATCGCCGACAGCGCTGGTACATCTGTGCAAAGATCCAGGTGTTCAAAACAGTTCGTGGTGAGAGAGGCGACTGCGTGTCAGGCAATCCACGAGCCACGGCAGCATACACGCCACGATTGAGCAAGTGTGTGCGGCGGGCACGCCAAGCGGACTCGGGCCCGGTGCTTCGACGCAGCACAGTGTGCTTCCCGTGGACGTGGTAGCATGAACTCAGAACGGCCCCCCGAGAGCGCCTCTTCGACGCCCACGGGTCCCGGGGGGTCGGAGGGGTTGCGAGAAGGCCTTGGCTATTTTTTGTTTGAATTCTGGAGGCCGTTCAAACATGAATTGACGTTCCACGTGCCCGTCCACAGCCACGGACAACATGCTAGCCCAGCAGGCCGCTCCCACCGCCGCCCGCGGCGGAGGCAAGGCGGCAAAGGGTGGCAAGGGCGGCGGCAAGGGCGGTGGCAAGGGTGGTGGCCGTGGCGCACCAGACCCGCTTTGCGCCGCCGCCCTCAACGCCCGATACTCGGTTAGAGCCGGCGGAGCGACGGCGGCAAAGGTGCGGCCGCCGGCGACCTCACACGGTGTCGAGCGCCGTAGAGACGGCCCCGAGAGCCGCCACCAGGTGTGCCACGACCGCGGCCGCGAGGCTCGTGGCGATGGATGCGCCAGACCCGCTTTGCGCCGCCGCCCTCAACGCCCGATACTCGGTCAGAGCCGGCGGAGCGACGGCGGCGGAGACACGGAGTTGCGGCCGCCGGCGACCTCACACGGCGTCGAGCGCCGTAGAGACGGCCTCGAGAGCCGCCACCAGGTGTGCCACGACCGCGGCCGCGAGGCTCGTGGCGATGGATGCGCCAGACCCGCTTTGCGCCGCCGCCCTCAACGCCCGATACTCGATCAGAGCCGGCGGAGCGACGGCGGCAGAGTTGCGGCCGCCGGCGCGACCTTCCCCTCGACCACGCCGCCGACCCGTCGACAAGCACGCGTGGACTGCCATCGAGAAGAAGGAGAAGGAGGGCGGCGAAACCCGGAGCCCGCGGGCGCGGCGTGGGCGGGCGCGGGCGCGGGCGGGCGCGCGGGAACCCCGCCAGCGGAGGCGACAATGCCTCCTTAGGGTACCCCTAGGCTTAAAAATAAAATATTCTTAGCTTCAAGCCCCCCTCCGAGACTAGGGACAGAACCACACCAGTATAGACCAGAGGGTGTGCGCCTCGCCCCCACTTGCCCTGACTGCACAGGATAGCGTGCCCCGATAACGGCGACACATAGTGGGGGACACTGCGCAAGGAGGGGGTGCGAAGGCTCATTGGAGTGCTAGGTGGGACCATGAGGGGGGGAGGGCGGGGTCCTGTGGGGGTGAAATGTTGCGCGGCGAATTCGAACCTACCCCCTCGCCGCGCCGATCCTCACGCGGAGGGTAAAACCCTGTGGGACAAAACCCCCCCGCGGTCGGCAGTCTTCAGAGTGGACCCCCCCCTCCCCAGCCTCCCCTGTGCATCTCGCACCCCCCCCCACTCCCCATCGGTGACTCGCGAAGGACACGGACACTCGGGGTGAGGGGGGGTCCCCCCGGAGGGGGCTCTGGGGCATTGTTGGGTTGCGTCGCTCGTGCCGATCTCGGGTCGATCTCGGGTCGATCTCGGGTCGATCTCGGGTCGATCTCGGGTCGATCTCGGGTCGATCTCGGGTCGATCTCGGGTCTCGGGTCGGTCTTGGGTCGGTCTCGGAGTGGTCTAGAAAAGAAAAAAATGGGGGGCGAGATGAGGCGAGATGAGGCGAGGTGAGGCGAGATGAGGCGAGATGAGGCGAGATGAGGCGAGGTGAGGCGAGATGAGGCGAGGTGAGGCGAGATGAGGCGAGGTGAGGCGAGATGAGGCGAGGTGAGGCGAGATGAGGCGAGGTGTGAGGCGAGGTGAGGCGAGGTGTGAGGCGAGATGTGAGGCGAGGTGAGGCGAGATGAGGCGAGATGAGGCGAGATGAAGCGAGGTGAGGCGAGGTGAGGCGAGATGAGGCGAGGTGAGGCGAGATGAAGCGAGGTGAGGCGAGATGAGGCGAGATGTGGCGAGACTAGGAGGCGAGATGAAGCGGGATGTTGTGTGGCTGCTTGTGCTGCCACAAGCAGGCAGCACAAGCAGCCATACAAGTGAGCTTTTGGGTT